TGAGGTATTCTCGTAATAACCTCATATTATTTGTAGCAATACTGCAAATAGCCATGGTAGCAATACAATGATATTTACATTCCCCTAGAAGTGATGGGATTCATGTGATGTGATGCCAGGATATGTGCTGTTCATAAAAAAAAATATCTATTATAACTGACTAATAAATTCGATTTATTTGATGGCCTAAATTTTGTTGGTATCAATAATCTGGATTAAGTTTGGAACCACACAGATTCAAGATTCTTTTTAATGTAAAGAAGAACTATGGCATAGCACATATAAAGTATCTATCAGGTCTGTGTTGGTAGTAACCAATTTTCTGGTTCTACATACATTTGTAGCACATGCTTGCAAACTTTACTGGAACATTTGAATTGTTTTATCAGGGACCACACAGGGATAACCCAAAGTGTTTTACATTTTGTTTCACCATGCTAGTTTTTCTAGGTCCTCTACAAAATCTTGCACCAGGTGACGATGCTTCTGGGAATGTGAATAGCCAACTCAGTTGTCTTACAAATTATGTATATTGATCTACATTATTTAATCTCTTGGTAACCACCACCTCAAATTCATACAAATACAGAGAGGCATACTAAGCCGAAATTACCAACAGAAAAAATAAGAATCTGCAATCTTTGCTCAAAGAATGAAATAGAAGACAAATACCATTTTATCACATGTTTTTTTTTACATCAATCAATGAAAGAAATGTTTGAACATTGCCTTAAAATTAAACAACAGCAACCCATAGTAGAAGTACTATATATTGTAATGTATTTACATATGTTTAATTCCTGTTAATCTTGTAATTTGTAAGTAACTCTGTAATTTGTGTCCACGTTATATCTTTCACTGTTATTCATTGTTTTTATTGTCTTGTAGTTTTTAGTGTCCTTACTGCTGCACTTTCCAAAAACAATGTTGTGTCAATAAATGAATGAATACAGATTTATCAGGACCAAAGCCATGGTGACACCAAAACTAAATTACAGTCTATGTATAAATTATGCATAAGTTGGAAAATAATTCTAAGCAAACTATCATATAGATATTGTTGCACTGCCCAACAGATATTTTCAACAGTGAGGTGGGCGTGTCCATAGCAACCATGACCACGCCCTAGAAACCAGTTTAACATACGTAAATCGTATGCATGAAATTTAAAAAATGCAATTATGTTGCATTAATGCTCAGTCGCTCTATAGAGAAACTGTGATATAAGGCATACCTACATATTCTTGACAGCACCCACTCCAGCCAGTGTATATACCGTCCTCAATTCCTGATCTCAGCTAATATACAGTGTAGCACTGAGGTTCGATAATTATGCGTGAGGAGATCGTATTTTACAGTTTGACACTTGTCACAGAACAATATTGCCTGTTGAAATTTAAGTTAAGGGCCCGGTTCAAGGGCCTATCATGTGTCCATGTATTTTCGAACATACAATATACACTTAATCCAAGGTTTGGTGTACTTTTGCATAAACACAGCTTGCACAAAATCCTTATAGTAAACACAATAACCTACCCATTCTAATAGTTAACAGCCCACTCTCTAGTTGGACAAATATCCACAATCACATCGCATCCCACTATTAGTCGGCCATTTTGGTCGGACTAGATTCGTAACTATTTCAACCAATTGTTATATTGAAAACATTGAATCAACATTATAGAGTCTATTGCGTAAATAATTGTTAAAAACAGTAGAATACATTCAGAAAACATATTACTGTAATAATATAATTTACATTTTTATTGATTTTTTCTATAAAGTTTAAATTTTGTCTTGAACGAGGACGATTTAAGGTCATTCAAGGTTACGAGAGTCTCTATTTACATAAACAGGGTGCATGTAAACTTTAACTGTTTGACGGTGTCTGTGTTGCGGACGTAGCGTTCTACAATGTGATAACTACAAGTATGACCGTGTTAAAAATGATGGACGACGTCTCGTTTGAAAACTCGTCAGTACTCGCTTATCAACAGGTTAGACAATACACACACACACCAACTATTCGTCTCTTTCGAGTTTTTTCAACTTCAAGCAACAGCGATACTGAAAAAGTGATGTACACTTTAATTATAGGCAAAAATTATCATAATAATGGAAGTTTGTTTATTAATGTCACATTGTCTTTCAGATCTCCGAAGTAAGTTACGCTGAAATTGCAACAAGTAGCCTTAGGTTTGTTATATTTATTAAAATTTTAATTTCATCTTGACAATGTTAATCTCACCGAATAATTATTACTGATTTTAATAATACTCCACGATTTTTATTTCTGTTTAAAGTTCGATAGTCTGCATTATTATTAATTTTCCTGCAAAATTGGTAGTTTTTTACTGCGAATTATTGAATTCATGTCTGTGTAAGGTGGCGTATAATTTATGTAAATAATGGACTGGATGTGGCACACCTGAGGCTGTGTTGCACTGTAAAAACATAGAACAATGCGTCCTTTGTATTTAAGCTGTTGTGTGTGCACACAGTGTTTATTATGGTACTCTCTATGAATGGGATTCGCCAAATGAAAGAATGTCTTGTTCTTGGTGTTTTTATGCACTCAGTCTTTTTGTATTTAAATGTAGTTTCATAGTGTTACGTCCAAGGACATTGTAATATGAGGTTATCACTTAATATCACTTGAACTATCGAATGTCAAAAAGACGGAGAAATCATAATTTTATGAAACTGTGCATGCTTACAAATCATAATCTAATTTATGCGAATTAGGCAGATGTCTGTGGTTGCCAGTGTGGGTTAATTTCAAATAACTGATGATGTTTTCGATGTTTTCCAAAATATTACCATTTGCAATAGTATTTTTTTTTTTGCATCAGTACAAGGTATATATGTGAGTAATTGTGAAAAATGTTATCCAATCTGAATTCACAAATCGTTGTGATAAAAACAATATGCATGATCATCGTAAACTTTATAACACTCATAATGAAAGTAATTTTCAAGGGTTTCAATGCAAAATGTTATAGTTTAGATATATTTGAAGACTGAATCTTAGTTTTCTGACACTATTAAAATGAGAACTTGTGTATGTTTGAACTTAACACAATGATCAAGGACAGGCAGAGAAAGAATTTCACATTTTGCTCTGTTTTTGAGTAACTCACTGTTTTATGTGATACAAATGTACTTTCATGCTACGTATCTATGAACACATCACCTTGCTTGTGTATGGAATTTAGTGTTCTTTGGTGGAAAGTCTGTTGATGAGCATCACGATAATTAGCTTGATTAGTATATGCCACTCTTGCCACATATTGCCTTTGAAGGTTTTGCATGTAAATGTTTTTTTTTTTTTTTTTTTTCTTTCTTAAATATTTTCTATTTATTATCAATCACTTAGTAGCAAACTGACCTGATTATATCCACGCATAATTTGCTCAATACCTACTACCACTGATCCACAACAAGAGAACTGCTAGAATCTATCTAGATTTTGTGAAAATAAAAAATATGTTGTTGGGAAAAATCAGCATGATAACTGGTAATATAAATTGTTATCAAGCATATGTGAATAAAATATGAATTCTTCCAGTCTCTCTGATTTCATATATCCCTGAAGGGTTAGACTGGAACTCAAGTGTATGATAAATAAAACAAAAAGTTACCAAAATATTCTTGAATTACTGTAAACAGTTTTGCTAGTTGATAAAAATCTTTGCCAGCCAAGGGCCTTTTATTCAGCTATGCCCACATCACTTGTATCAATTAGCGAATTCTGTTTAACTCCTAACTGTTTTAAAGAGCGCCCTCTGTGGCAAGTTATAATCTCACTTTTTTTTCAGGGCCTTAAGCTCTGCCAACTCTGATTGGGCACATAGACCTTTCAGTATAATCACTCACCAATTTGTTAATATGTTTGTGTTAGTATGTTTACTGGTATATCTAGTTCAAAAATTTGTACAATGTTGATTGATAATAAATTTTATATATAGTTGGTGACCCCAAGCTTTATGATTTTCCCTAACCTAATTATAAAGTATACAAAGATTTAGACTTGGAAATCTTTAAAAAATTCATTGATCATTTTAATGTTGCAAAGCCAGCACTAACCTATAACTTAACATTACATGGTTTTTTGAATTTGTTCACAGTATTTTAGGTGCTAGTTCTATAATTGGATTGACACTGTATAAGAAAAAAGTATGCCAGCCAGAGGTGAGTGTGTTAGTGGATTATCTATTGTATCAGTCACTACTCTTACTTTGTGTCTTCAACAAGTGAATTATTTTTAATTAATAATTATTAATTTTTTTCAGGTGCATCCAATATTTCATTTGGCTCTGGCTGATTTGCTAGCATCGTTATTTCTTCTTATTGGTTGCTTAGTATATAATGTTGCGGGGACTGCCTATAATATGTCAATTGCATGTAGTGTTATTATTGGTTTATCCATGGTAAGTTCACTTGAATATTAACAATAATTCAATGACTGGTATTAAAAAGGAAGCATATTGTTTTAATGGGGGGCCCACTGACTAACATGTGAAACAAATATGGGCTGATTTCATGACGAAGTAACATATTCCAATTTAAAGTTAATGGGAGGGTGCCCATGGTCTCTGCCAAGACTAGAACTTGTTAAATTATTACAGTGTGTAATCTGCTGTAAGTAAGGTACTATTTTCATGTCAACAATGAAGGACAGCCTTAGATAGAGATGTACAATAGGAATTTCACAAATAATAAATTAAGCACTCCAGTCTGCCCATTATTATGTGACAGCAAGACGAGGATGTAGAATGAGGAAGTCATAGGTAAGCAAGATCACTGGAATCCAAGTCCTACTATAATAGTTATAGGCAGTGAGCATTTATTATACACTGAAACTCCCCAAATTAAGAAAATGAGATGCACCTAGGCATTAAAATAGCATATACCCCCCATTATGAATCATGTACATGTAAAACATGCATAAACAAAGTAATAGGTGATCGTAATGATCATGAAAATGACTTGATTAATTCACACAAGATGGTTTTGATAGTAATTTGTTGTTGTGGTTTGTTCAGATGACAAGTGCATTGACCTCAAGCACTGCTTATCATTTTATATACAGGCTTCACCTCTGAATATTAATTGACCATTGAGGACGGACAGTTTTATTTTATGGCACTGCTTGGCAAATTACAATTAAATGTAATTTTCACGTAATGTAAAGTTCAGAATTCCATTTAACTTTATCTTTCAATTGATTAAATGTGATTATCTTTGCCTTACTTTTCATAGACATTTTTCCTCTGTACGTTTTTCCTTACTTTGACTTATGCAATAGAGGTTTATATACGAATGAAAGAAAGACTTAAAAGAAAGCCAATGAAAGAATCAGTAAGTATTTTGTTATCTGTCTTTCACGCTGACCACAATAAAAATTACATTTTTGAATAGGTGCCAATTATTACAAAAAATGGTAATTCATGTTTGATGGTTTGAACAACTGAAACATTTTAAACAGTGATGCATTGTGGTACATGTTGTCTAATTAGCAAACTTGAAACCTAGTGAAAATGTTGAAAATGTCACTGTATTATTCTGCATATAATGTGTAGTTATTGTAAGTTTCATAACAAGATATTTTCAATATGACATAATCCCTATTTGTATTTGTAAATTGACATTTCAAGACATAAGCAGGGCCAGAATGTCATGTCATGACAAGGTTTTCAATAACCCAAATCAATTTATCACTCCTATAATATCTTTTGCCATAATTGTACCGTACTGATTCATAATTGGTTAAGTTGTCAGACAAATTAGTAGAGACATTTTAAATCAAAAGAAATTGGTATAAAACAGTAATGAAATCTCCCCAGGCATGCTTGAGAAATGGTTGTTGACATGTTGAAATGCTGTGATTTAGTGTTTTTAATTCACAAATAAATCATGTATTCACAGATTTCGACCAAAGAATCAATTCTGGTTGCATATGCTAATTATAATCTCTGCTCAAAGCTGAGTTAATATTTTCACTACAAGACTTTCTCACCCAAATTTTTCTGCATTTTTCTTTTTATATTCTTCAATATTTCTGGAAATGAACCTTAATTTTTAATCCCAATATTTTGAAAGAAAGTGCAGACTATAAACAGTACTACTTTGTGATGAAAAGAGGAAACTGGTGTTAAAGTTAAAGTGTTTCTTCGCAATGTATATATCACTGCAACTTTTTTATCTGTTCTAAACTGTTTCTTCAAGATTTGTTTACATCATTTCATTTAAACTCAGTGTAACGATTACATAGCCAGCAACAACTGATCACTATATATCCAAAAGTACACTCACACTCGTGGATCTCTGCAGTGTACAGAACAGAGACTGTGCATTGTCAATGCTTATAAAAAAATTTGTATATATATATAAAAATAAGAAATGAAACAATTCCACTTCATGAATTTTGTCTCAAAATCTCAAATGTTGGATTTTTGCTGAATATTTTTGTAATTTTTGATCAAAATTGATATTTTCGACTTCTTCTTCAAAACCGCAACTCTGAATGCTTTTTAATTTGGTATATGTGCACCTTGGGTGGACTTCTCTCAGATTTGTTCATTTCGTGATGATATCTTCAATTCCCTAATTTTAGTGAATATTTTTGTAATTTTTGGTAAAAAGTGATATTTTTGACTTCTTGTTAAAAACCGCAAGTCTGATTGCTTTGATATTATATATATTGTTCATTTTCTAATGATATCTTCAGTTCTTTAATTCAAATGTGCATTGCTAACAGCAGAGCTATCTCAGCCGACAGGCTGCTTGTTGTCAATAATTAAAGAAAAAGATTCACTATCATAATGTTGGCAGTTAACATAAATGATGAAAGCAAGACTTTGATACATGTATATGGATAGCAGCCACCAGACAGTTTTGAAAAACATACCACTATGAACTATGGTATATTTTGTCAAACATACTGTATACTATATTGTTTGCAGATTTATGGTTATTTTCCTTCAGTGTATATGCTGTACATCTCATCGTGGGTGATTCCTATAGTATGTGCAGTTGTTATACTCAGCTTTACTTTGCATATTGAAATCAGTCATTTTCCCAAAACAGTTACAGGTGGGCCATGTACCAACTTTGTGTAAGTTAAATTCTTCATACACTTATATATGCTTTGTTTTTATTATAACTTATGTTTTAATTTTGCTATCATCATTAATATTTTTGTTCTATTACAGTTTTCGGTTTTCCTGAATTATATTAATTAATTGATATCCATGATTACTGAGAACAGTATGTTAATTTACACGTTTGGTACCAGTCTTAGGACTTAATCAGCCAAATTTTTTTCTGCACTTTTTTCTTACATTCTTCAATATTTCTGACTAATTTTGGAGCCAACAGACAAAATGTGAGTCAATTTTTAGTTTTTACTCTAAACATTTATCTATTTTTGTCCCAATCTTCTGAATAAAAGTGCAGAATATAAACAGGAATATTTTGTGAATTTGTGATAAAAGGAGGGAACTGGTGGTGAAAAGGTTAATATACTATTTCCTGCCATGTTTCATCTCAGTGGATGAGCTTCCTAATTTCATGCATTTCAAGCGACATACTACATGCATACTACCGGGGTACAAACAAAGCAGCACCATTGATGTGTTATAATACAAGAAACACCATCCTAAATGACCACATGTGCATAACAATCATAGTCAGCTCATACAAGATGTAGTCATTCTATTTTGTCTCAAGTAGCTTCTGAAAGCACTTTATTTTAATAAGAGACAGTCTTTGGGAATAATGTTTTAGTATTTATTTT